TATATGTATAATAGAATATTTATGTGTGAATTATTTAAACTATTGATTTTGTACGGCACCAACGACCAGCACTTATTGGGTTTTGGCATTGGATTAAAATTACCAACATGATTAAAGTTTAAAAAGCCTACTCCTTTTTGGGAAACCAAGCTCGGAGAAGGTATTTATATGTATGGTACGGCAAGAACCTTATAATATAATTTTGAGAACATTACACTCAGAAAAAAATAGAAATTCCAATCAATTGAAATGCCCCATATATATATATAATTAAAAATCCAACATAATACATAAACTTATATGTTTTTTCCCACTTCAAAAGAAAAGTTCTTAGGTGATTAGATTATGGCCCATGTTGAAGAAGAAAAAAGTTTTTGGGCTTAAAAGTCCCAACTTTAAAATTGAACGTGACCAAAACGAGATTTAAATATCATTTCGGTTTCACCCCAACTAAAATTTAATATTTCATAGTAAAGCCCATTTCGGCTGACCCAAGTTTCCAACACATGATGCCGGTTGACTTTGACCTGTTGACTTTTAAAACTCGGAAGTCAAATATGAAATAAGGGTGTGTAAATGAAGTATTCTTTCACATGGTGGAAACCGAAAAAGTTATTTAAACAAGAAAAAATAATTAGGAATCGTTATAATAATGACAGAGTTATGAAAATTTTAAATGTCTTAATATATTTTTGTACATAACTTTATTATTTTATAAAAATGTAAATTTTGTTCAACTAGAAACTTTTTGTTTTAAATTATTGCATACAGAATCATAACTCCTGTAATTAAAATAGGAGATATATCTTGCTGTCAACCAAACAAGTAATTATAGATTATAACAATTTTTTTTTTTGTTAATGCACGATACTAATACATGTTTTTTTAAAGTAAATATAAATAGATATCTAAATTTCTCTCTATGTCCGTTTCATTGCTGTTCCTAATCTTCTGGGAATTCCATTAACATCTAACTTAATTATGGCTTGATCCTAATTTGTAGGAATGTTATTATACCTATTTGTTCTGTTTATAAATTTAATTACGATTAACACTTCAAAAAGAAAAAGTTGATTACGATCCATGAAATCATCAATGACGTCACATCTGGAGAATTATCAACGACCCACAAAGTTTTCATGATAACATACCGTATTTGAACATTTGGGTAGAAATCTTGTTCTAGAATAAAGGTTCGATTCCCAAAAAATATATATATTTTTTTAATTTCTAAATACACATTTCGAATAACTATTAAATAATTATTTTTTTGACCGCAACCTTTATATGCTGTTCACATTTGTACTAAAAAAAATATATAAACAAATATAATGCGTAATATTTCCCAATAATTTTAAATGGCTTACTGGGGCCGTAGAGTCACAGATGAATTAATCAACAAAAAAGTGATAGATTAATTATTCACAAAAATAAATAACTTAAATAATATATTTGTCAATATTTCTTACAAAATAAAAAATTATTTTTTTAGTAATTATAAAAAGACAAAAATTGGCGAGGAAATCAGATAAAATCAACGGTCGTAGTCCCAAATACGACCTTCGAGATCCGTAGCTGTGGCAATTGCTCAGTCAGCGATCGACGGCTACTGACTTGCCACGCGGCAGAAATCCATTCACACCTAAATATCAGCCAGGAGGGTACCAAGTTTCCTTACAAGTATCCAGCCAATCAAGCAGCCCCTAGCTAACACTACAAAAATATTCTCTCCTCTCTTGGAATAAAAGAAGAAAAAACAGAACGGTCAGACTTCGGAGAGCTACTACCAGCAAAACCGGAGGTTCATTTCGATCTATCAATGGCGGAGAAGAGCTTCAAGTACGTGATCGTCGGTGGTGGTGTCGCGGCTGTGAGTTTTCCGATCGATTATCTCCTTCTCTTACCTCCTTTCCTATATCTGTTTCTCTCTCGATTTTGGACATTTTTTCTTTAAATTTTCAATTTATGAATTTGATATGTTTCCGTTGAAATCTGTGTCTGTGATGATTCTTATGGCGGTGATGTTTTAAGACTGCATCTTAATTATCCATATTTTTTCGTGTAGTTTAATCTTTACAGATCTAAGGATATCGATTATCTGTTTCGTGTACGCTCGATTAGTGATTGTTTTCTATTGGAAATGGAATAGTCTCAGTGAAGAATGCTTAATTTTATTGACATGACTAAGCCTATAATTGACTTATGCATAAATTTGTCTTAATAAACTTATGAAGCGTTTTCATTACTAGTTCAAGTCCCCTGGAATTGTTTGTCGGGTTGAGGCTCCGTTTCACAATACTCAGCAGTTCTGCTGATTGGTTTTTGTTGATGTTTACTGGGATAAAATCAAGTTTAAATCATTTTTTAAACTTTGGCTTTGCAATCGACATGTTATCAATGAATTTAAATGACCGAATCTATTCGGTATTCCATATATTATTTGATCAGTTATTTGTTATAGAAGCTTATACCTCTGGGAAAAGTCTAAAATATTATATGTGCTCTTAAAAATTCATTTTCTGCTTCTCTAACGGATGAATGTTGATTTGTTGCTGCGATTGGCTCCGCAAATCTGATTTTAGTTATTATACTATTCGGTTCAACTTGTCAAGCATGCTTTCCTTTTTGGTTTCTGATTTCACCAGAAACGGATGGTGGATGCAGATTGAAGATGCATTTTTCTAGTATGCTGTGTTGTTATTACTTTAATTTGATTGTGATCGTGTATCAATTTTTTTCCTTTACATTATAGGGGTATGCTGCTAGAGAGTTTGCCAAGCAGGGAGTTCAGCCGGGTGAACTAGCAATTATTTCCAAAGAGGCGGTATGCTTTCTACTTTCAAGCAATAGTTGTTTGATCATCAAGTAGTCCCAGTTCTCCGTTTGACACATTGCTCATTCATCATTCTCCCTTGCTGCTGATTATGTTAAAGGAAAAAATGATTTTCAATTCAGTGAATCTTCCACCATGAGATTTTACTCCTATTATCCATTTCCATTGCATTTGGATATGCATATTGACCAAACCCTTTTCCCGGGGTTCTGTTAAAAATTGTACTTCTCTCATTTGCCTTGTTCTCTGAGAAATTGTCGTTTCTAATTATGACATCTACACTTGTAGGTGGCTCCATATGAGCGTCCTGCACTAAGCAAAGGTTATCTGTTTCCTGAGGGTAAGTCATGTTATTTGTGGCTTCTTTTGTTATTGTTACTATTATTTTTCTTGCTTGATTTGCTTGTACCTATCTGGTGGAGAGTACGTATTGGTCTGTGTTCTTCTCACGTGAAATAATTTGAACTTTTCTCTTTCTCAGGAGCTGCAAGACTTCCAGGTTTCCATGTCTGTGTTGGAAGTGGAGGAGAAAGACTGCTACCTGAATGGTACAGCGAGAAAGGTGATTCTTTCTTTCTGACCTGTTTTTTTTCCTTCGGTATAAATTTATTTAAGTGTGTCAGAGCACTTTGAGATGAACAGATCTTTATGCCTTTAAGTGGAACCTGAACAGAGCAGTTGGAATTGGCTATCTAATAATATTCCTCCATAGTTTATTGTTGGCCCCTAACGGAATGGATTTTATTTAATCGGTAGTGTTTAGTAGATTGTTATTTTCACAAACACCTAGCTCCTTCCTTCATATTTGCAGGAATTCAGTTGATACTTGGCACAGAAATTGTCAAAGCTGATCTTGTTGCCAAGACTCTTGTCAGTGCTGCAGGGGAGGTCTTTAAGTATCAAGTTTTATTAATTGCTACTGGTTCCACTGTAAGTACTATATTCATCTGATTTTCCAGACGATCTATTACCCATTTATATCTTCTATATAGACAGATTTTCAAAGGAAATTGTTCTATGGAGATGGAAACTCACCCACTTCTATCTTTGCAGGTTATTAAACTGTCTGATTTTGGTGTACAAGGTGCTGATGCTAAGAACATCTTCTATTTAAGAGAAATTGATGACGCTGATAAGCTGGTGGAAGTTATTAAAGCAAAAAAGAATGGAAAGGCTGTGGTTGTTGGGGGAGGCTATATTGGTCTTGAGCTCAGTGCAGCTTTGAAAATAAACAATCTTGACGTTAGCATGGTCTATCCAGAACCTTGGTGTAGTAAGTGGAACCTATATTTTGAGCCTTTGTTTTTCCTGCATGTATGCTGAAATGAGGGCACGGGCTTTATTTCATAACTGTACCACGTGGGTCCTTCGCTTGCTAATGAAAAACTGTATGCTTGCAGTGCCTAGGCTTTTCACTGCTGGAATTGCTGCCTTCTATGAGGGTTACTATGCTAACAAGGGAATCAAAATTATCAAGGGAACGGTTGCAGTTGGCTTCACCACTGACTCAAATGGGGAGGTAAGTGTTCAGCCTCCTGATTTCAGAATAGGTGCTTTTTTCTGAATGCTTTGTCATATGACCATGTTGAATCTGCTATCTTCAGGTGAAGGAAGTGAAACTTAAGGATGGCAGGACCTTGGAAGCCGACATTGTTATTGTTGGCGTTGGTGGAAGACCATTGATATCACTATTTAAAGGGCAGGTTGAGGAGGAGAAAGGTGGAATAAAGGTTTGTGTGACCCCTATATTCTTTCAAATAACTTTCTGTTTTGTGCTTGCTTGTTCTTTAGGTATCCTAAGAAATCAAACTTGCTCAAAATCTCATCCATGATTTTGCTTTTTCATCTTTATTGATTTCAATACAATTTTTTCATGATGCAATGCACTATGCCATTGGTTGTTTCTGTGAGTACAAACGATATTTGGTCATTCCCGTTTAATATCTTTACCATCTTCCTAGTTGAAAATCTTATTTTTCACTTATCCTTCACTTTGATAGTCTGGATACTGTGCTCTTAACAATATTTTCAAAATTGCAGACCGATGCATTTTTCAAATCAAGCCTTCCTGATGTATATGCTATTGGGGATGTGGCTACCTTTCCCATGAAACTGTACAAGGATATGAGAAGAGTTGAACATGTTGATCATGCCCGTAAATCAGCTGAGCAGGCTGTAAAGGTATCCTGAGCTCCTACCCCTTTATTTAAAACGTAGATGTACTTGCTCGAATTTAAATTTTTAATATGAATTGAACAGTTACTTTTCAAACCTTAAACTTCCAATTCTGGTATTGCAATAGAAAACATAGATCAGTTGATATTTCAAAAATATTAAGCTAATAAAAAGTGGTTCATCTATTATTTAGAATAGGAAAGACATAAAAATGTGAATGAAAATTTATAGAAATGCTTAAAAAGTTTGGAACATCAAACATCACCTATATTCTCATGTTGCAGGCTATCAAGGCAGCTCAGGCAGGGAAATCAATTGAAGAATATGACTACCTTCCTTATTTCTACTCTCGTTCCTTCGATCTGTCATGGCAGTTCTATGGTGACAATGTTGGTGAAACCGTGCTTTTCGGAAACAATGATCCCACATCAGCAAATCCGAAATTTGGAACATACTGGATTAAGGATGGAAAAGTTTTGGGGGCTTTCCTGGAGGGCGGAACCCCAGAAGAGAACAAGGCTATTTCTAAAGTTGCAAAGCTCCAACCACCAGTCGAGAGCTTGGATCTGCTGACAAAGGAAGGACTGGCCTTTGCCTGCAAGATCTGAAACTGCCCTATTCAGAGACTAAAGTGTGAATTCCTTGGACGTTTGGGTTGTTGAGCTTTACTCCTTAAAGAGTAATTTTTAAACTTTGTTAATGTACTTTCGAATTTATTACATAAATTTGAGATTCACTTCCTCTTCTTGATAATGTTCATATTAATAATAGCCTGGTCTCTTTTTCGATGATTTGATTTCCTTATATTCTGTAGCTCGACTGGTTATAATTTAAAGTACGTGGTAGTAATTATTATACATAATTTTTTCTTTTTCTTTAATTTATGGGTTAAAAAACTATCAAGATGTATAGTTTAAATAAGGCTAACTTTTGGTTCATTTTAAAATGTGTGGCTAGTAAATCATAAATATTTTTATCATTGTTGATCAAATTATTTGTTTTATTACACACCAGACATTCCTCAAAATAGATTCTTGCTTGCAGATGAATGTCCGAAACACAGACACAGAAACAGTGCATTCAGCATTTTTAAGAGAGAAATCACTTCAGGAGACCATTTGTCTCATTAATACATTTTGTAGCGCATTTGCAAGCAGAAAATAACATCAATGCCATCAAATAATTTTATCAGAAACCAAACACAAATTCCAGATAGAACTGAATTGGGATTTAGATATTACCAAATGATCATCCACATGTTGCCTTCCAAACAATTTAACCATTCATCTACGAAACTATATAAAGATCTAAACTTTGTAATAATTATCCTATGACAAAATTCCCAGACTACCTAAAATTCCAAGACAGAAGTAATAGACTAATCAAAAAGATTTCTAATTGGAAGAAAATGCTTGAAGTATTGCTCAATCTTCTAGTCAAAGAGGCTGAAGCCAAATTCCTGCAATAAGTTCAAGGAAAATAAATCCATTAAGACACAAGTCATGGTCTTGAAACTTAATGCATTGGTTCATTGGAGAAGTGAAATGATGAAAACCCAATTAATAAGCAAATAAAACTGTCAAAAGCAACACAAATCAATCATGCAAAGCACAATGACAAATCAATCAATTTATTTTACGGGTAGAAATTTTTTTCTTAAGGTGGTATGGAGCAATAAGCACTGCAATTACTCTCCTTCATGCCTATAAAAGCTTCCCACCTTTCGTATAACATTCAGTTCTTAATCATAACTACCACCATGGGACACGCCTGTCAAAGAAACAGAAAGGCTCCCTCCAGCTGAAGCTAGAAGCTACAACTCGAGTAGATTCATACGCAACACCTCCTCGTAAGAAGACCGAATCACTTTACTACTTGGACTACCATTTTGGTGGTAGGACCAGAAACCTAATTGTGATATTATCTATTTCTCAATTAGATCCAGTTAAAGAAGCTTACTTCGTCAGATTCCTCTTTCTCCATAACCTTTTCCTCTTTCTTTGTCTCAGCTGGGACAGCAGCACCACCTGCGGCAGGGGCAGCAGGAGCAGCAGCACCACTACCACCGAAACAAGGAACAGAGGCCAGCTTCTCCCGTCCGGAAGCAAGAAGCTCAGTTACATCTCTACCATCCACTTGTTTCAAAACAAGAGAAATCATTTCATCTTCAGCATCAGCTCCCACTGCAAACGCATATATTTTTTAACTTTTTAGTTGGGAACTATTAACATACTGTAATTACAGACATACAAAATATTAAACATAACAAAACACTGAAAGATTTACTAAATAACCAAATCCAAGAGAAAAATGAACATGTTCAAACTCCAGTTGAATATTTTCAGTATCTGAATGACTTCAACAAATGAACATGTTGCATTTTAGTAGAATGTTAGTCAATTCTAGATTAAACAGGTAGGCATGATGCCTTTATGGAACTATTGCACTACAGAGTTTCCCGGTAAAATTGAGAATATGCTTGCTATTTTTACCATAAGCACAGTAAGGTTTAAATAGCAAACAGTATCTAATCACAGCAAAACAGATAAACAGATTCAACTCCGTATTATCACACGAAGAAACACATCGATCTACATTCAAATCCGTACAAACATGAAATGATAAATAATGTACTACGCGTAAATACATGCGTGTGTTTGTATATGTGTTTATAGGGAAAAGAAGGGCAGAAAATTTGGGATACCAGTGCCGAGGATCTTCCTGATATCACCATGAGAAGGAGTGGTATTCCCTCCCAGCACAGCGAGCAAATATGCAGCAATCACCTTCATCTTTGTTCTACTTCGTTCAGCTTTCTCTGACTAAACCGAGAATCTGTAAGGAAAACAAACATATAAACCAACGTCAGTACTCTATCAGAGAATATACAACACAGCGCGTCCCTGAAGTGAGAAGGATTATGAATATACCTTCGCAACAGAAGACCTTGCCGCAAATGCTGAACCAAATATTGAAGAAGGCGTGTTTATATAAGCAATCTCCTAGGGTTTTAGATAAAACCAGAAAGGAGATATAAAAACCGAAGCCCGCAATTGTCGTGGACTCATGGGCCAATCCGGGTCAGATTGTGGTCAACTGACCAAGTCCGGCCCACTTTTGAACTTCAAATTCCAGCCCGATTTATTTATTATTTCGTCGAATTTAAAGAGAAATTATTCAGTTGAATTTATAAATCAAATTAAACTAACTGTTTAGTTCATAAAATTTTAAAATATCAAATTAAGTTTTATATTGAATTATTCTTTTATATAGTAATACATAAAAAATAAATATAATAAAAATTCACCAAAATTAGTACAAATACAAAGGGAAATTACCAATTTATTAAATTAGTAATTATTATTTTTAATTGTAAATTTTTAGCAAGTATCAGTTTTTTTTTTTTTTGTGTTTTAAAATTTCTCAATAAATCAATAGTCAAACTACCACAGTACATAATAAAATATTTATAATTTCTGGGAATTCTTTTTTTGTGATGGAATAAATAATGCCCACATACATAAATTAAATATACTCTGACCCGACATTAATTTATGCCAGTGACCAAACAAGGCCCACTTAATAAATGTTCGTCTTATCAAAATTGAATGTCTATCTGGTACCACCAAAAACTTCTTCTTCAAAAAAAAAAAAAGATTATTACGCAAAAACTAATTATAACAAAATGGTAAATAAATATCATATAATAAAACAAAATAGTAGGTTGATGAAGATAATATAATTAATAAATCCTTTTTTTAAATCAATTTTCTCATTGCGTTTTCTTTAATTTAGTTAAATTAACGGGTATTATTATTAATTTTAAAAAATAAATAAATAATAAAATTAAATGGGTATTATATTATATATATAAATAAATAAATAAATACTAAATAAAATAATGAAAATATAAATACAAATATGTTGATGTGACTGAATCTAGTAATACAAATGTATTACTAAAGGAATCAAATAAATTAATTAATTCCCTTATTCATTTCATATGTTTCACGACATTATTGTGCTTTAAGTAAGAAAATATTTCAATATTTGATTAATTTTGTGTCGACCAAATAATTATTTATAAAGAAAATTATTAGGTGTTTTCTAAAGTATAAATAATTTTACTGGATTTTACAAATATCATATAATAATTATATTTATATTAAATATTTAATTTTAAAAACATAATTTATGTTTATATAAATGTCTTAAACCAGTAGATTTGTACCTATATCAACGTCAATGTAATAAATATTCTGAATTTCTTTTAATTCGGACCATTATCATGTGTACTTTGCTATTATAATAAATAAAATAATTTCTTAACTAATTTCATTGAATTTTAAATAAATATTAAAAACTATTAAACTCTAGCCATCATATAATAATTCAATAGTTGAGATATCACGATGATTTTCGAAATTTTAATAGTTATAATTTGATTTTTAATATTTTTTAAAACTATTTTAAATATTCAAGTTGTTACATTTTAAATGGTTAAGGTTAATTTATAAAAATAATTTGAAATAATTAATTAAAACATTTGTCTGCATGTGTTATAAAAGCTTGTTGATTGACTGCAAATTTGTAATGGTAAGCAAAAAAAAAAAAAGAAACATTTGAAAAAGAAAAACTCTCCAATTTAAGTGTTGACCATAAAATACACGGCAACGATTTAGACTGCTTGGAGACAAGTCAGCAACTTGGCATACGAACCTCGTCACCCGACAACTCAAATTTATGGAGAGTAGACTTTGGTGACAGAAAAAAATATTATTAATTAATTAATTAGATAAATTATTTATTTATTTTGTTAAATACTTTTTTATTTTTATTTAATATAACGTCAGTTGTTTGGTGGGCTAAATAGTTTACTTGTTACGTTGACACCGTCTTCGCTGATTGATTTCTTTTTTTTATAATTCTAGCGCGTAGTACGTACGCACACAGGACGCTCAACTTTCACCACTCGCCGACAAGCGTGTGAGTTCCACAAGCCACTTCAGTCTACGTGATATGAATGCAGGGCAAGAACCCAGGTCAGCCTTGCAAAAAATAATTATAATTAATTATTAATTTTAAAAATATTATTAAGTTAAACCTATGATAAAGGTACTTAATAATTTTAATTAATTTTATAGTACGCATATTTTGTGTTAATTGGGGAAAAAAAATTTCACACCCAGTAAATAATTAGACAAGTTAAGAAAATTGTAAATAAAAAAAAAAGTTGATTTATATTAATTAATTATATATTAAAGTTTGATAATCTGTTGGTATGAGAATCCGACAATTTGACAAAGTGCATATTTGACGTGAACCTTTTTCTTTGTCACGTGAAACGTATTAACAAAATGAAAATGAATGTGGAATTTTCTAAGAAGACGGTGAGGTATTATTAATGCAAGTATAGTCTCAGTTATGTGATTTTCGGGGTTATATAGACTTAGCCACTGTGTATTAGTGGTTAAAATATATTTTAAATTACGTTATATTTGTATAAGCTTGTAATTAAGAAATTGATATTTTTATTTTATTCAATTTAATTTTTTAAATATTTTGTTTAATTAAGAGTTTTATTTGATTATGAGATTAAATTTTTTAATATTGTTATTGCTTTAATGGTCTTTCACATTAATAAAAATAAAAATGTGATTTATCACACTGTCTGTAGTAATTGGATGTTGAAAAAAAAAATTGTATGTATGCATATATGTGTATATAGGAATAATTATAGACGGGAAAGGGTGTAGTTGGGGCGAGGAGGAGGAAACGGTGCCGTTTGGAGAAGAAAATGAGGAAACGACGTCGTTTGGAGAAGAGGGAGTGGACGGCTCGGATGAGGTGAGATGGACGAGCAGATTGAGAGGCAGGTGGGGTATAAATAGGAGAAGGGAAAGGGAAAAAAAATAAAAGAAAAAGCAAGAGGAAAGAAAAGAAAGAAAACAGATAAGAGAAGTCGGGGGAAGAAAAGGTTCGAGAGAGAGAGAGAGAGAGAGGAGTCGGAGCGGGGAGAAACGAGAAAAGAGAGAGAAAGAGAAAGAGGACGGTGACGGTGCGAGCCACGGGAGTGCAGGAAGAAAGATGGAGATGAGAGGTACGGTAAATCTTAAGTTTCATGTGTAGGTTTGGTGTAGCTTTGAAATTGTGACCTTAAGTTGAGGAACTAGGCTTCGTTTGGGATATATAGCAGAAAACTATGATTCAGGAATAGGCGGGTGGAGATGGTAGGTGGAAGCGCGGAAGTATGAAGGATGTGCGCAGAAGTGTGAAAGATGTACACGGAGAAGGCTGCGGGAGGAGAGAGAATGAAGAATTCGGTGAGTGAAGGAGGTCCGTGAGAGAAAGGAAATTCGGTGTGAGTATGAGTGGAGGGAGGCTGCAGGAGGAGAGAGTGAATGAGGAGTTCGGTGAGTGAG